TCAGGAGCCTCCGTTGCACGGCTGCTGCCCTCCACATGCACGCTCTTCTGAAGCAGAAGCCCAGGGTGCAAGCACGAGCAGTTGCTTCGGTGCAGCCTCTGCACATGGCGCAGCAGCCTCGACAAACACCTTTTTCTCCTGCCACCTCTACCCATTGCTACACGTCCTGGGGAAGCTCAGAGGTGCCTTCTCCACACAAGCTCAGCGTTTTCACTGATGGCTGAGACATTATGCAAAACCAAAGGAAAGACGCAGAGATGACTTCTTTTGAGCTTAAAAAGAAGCTTCTCCCAGTTCCAGGTAACCATCCCCTTTGGTTTGCAGCGATGCAAACCAGACAGAGGAGCCATGCTGTTTGCCGTGCTGCTCCTGTGATAACCACAGCGAATGTGGGTCAAGACCTGCTAGGCAGCTCTGCCCCAAGGCCATCACCTCTGCAGCACCGAGCACAGCTCACTCTCACTGAGATCTCTCCCCAGCGCTTCAGCATTTGGAGCTGCCCCCAAATAACCCAACTGAGCAAAGCAGAAACTGCCTGATAAAAAAGTACCAGGAAAAAAACCCCAGCATAACCCTTTTCCTTTCCTCAGCAAATGATCCTGGTGTCTAAATCCCATCTCACCAGGATTCATCACTGCTCCCCTAGAGAGCAGAAAGTCTCTCAAATGCTCCACTTGCTGCCATTTTTAACTTCACTGCCCCATGCCCTTGGTATCTTTTTCCTTCCATAGTCCCAGTACATGCAGATAAAGAAATCTAAAGCAGTCTCAGTGTGGGGCCTCTGACATTTAAGCTGGGAGAAGGGGACTCTGGGAATGTCCAACACTTTTCATTCCACAAGCAGAGGTGAGAGTCTGAGTGATTATTTCTTCTGCACTTTGCTCTCTGCAGCCTTTTTCACACTTCCTTTTCACAACATTTCAATCCTTTTCCCTGTCTTTCTTCTAGGTCTGTCCCAAGGGACACCCACTCCTACACCAAAACCATGCCACAGACAGGACGGAAAGTCTTTGGAAGGCACCAGGAAGCCACAGGAGTCATCCAGGACTCTGTCAACAGCCCTGTAGGCAGAATGAATGCTGCACATGGGAGACTGCTCCTCTTGGGAACCTTCCCAGACCTTCAGCCTGAACAAGCCAGCCATGAAGAGAGGCAGGAAGATGCAAACCCACCTCAGCACCAGCTCCCTTAACAGATCTGTGCCTTGTCAACTGCAGCAGAGTCCATCCCTCCCTTTTTTCAAATTCCTCAGAATATCTTAAGGGTCAGGAGAAAAAAAATCGGCGTGATCCCAAGGAGACAATCCCCTCATCCTCTGCCAACAACTCACACACCAGGCAGCTGCCCTGCTCCAAAGAGGAAACAACAAGAAGACAAACCTGCGTTGCCATCGTCCTTGCTGTAACCTCACAGTGCCAGAGCACTCAGCCAAGCCACAGAAGAGAGGCAAATGTAACCCCCATCTGGAAAAACCTCCTCCAGAATAAGACATCGAGGAGTTGCATAGGGAAAGTCACACAAATATTTCTGAGCCATTAAATTCTCAGGCCTCACCTCAGGAAGGATCAGCAGCTGTAACCAACAACAAATACCCTCCCTCACCTCACCTTTTTCTCACTACACGGACACCCTGCAGTATCCTGCAATCCTCTCCACCTCCTGCTTATGTTCACTTCCATACCTGCTGCCCTAGGGGAGGAAGCACAGGCAGACTGCAATTTTATAGAAAACAGAAGGAAAACAAAGCCTTGCAAATAACTCACCCCTCATTAAAATGGCTTGGGGGCTTGGCAACTGGCCCATCCTGCTGATACACAATCCCTCTGTAGCTCCTCATTACCACTCCCCAGTTTCTCAAAGCCATTCTGCCACACACATGTGCACACAAGCTCTCCAGGGGAGCCACCAGAAATAGATTTTGGGGTGTCAAAGTTTCCACCAAAGCAGCAGCTCTTTGGTCAGGTGTGGAACGTGAAGTAAGAGGTGGGATGCAAAAGGCACTGTACAACCTCCTTTCCTTGCAGTCAAGGGACTCTAAAGATAGAAAAAAAAGTCAAACCCAAGTGGACGATCCTCAGAGAGCAAAATGCAGCAGAAATGGAGTAAGTTGGGGCAGTCTCTGCACATTTGGTATCTCCACCCAGACAGTGGATGCCTGGGGGGTTACAGAGCTCCACCCTTTCTGCTGAGCGTTGAATTAGCAACTAAACAGCAAAAGAGCTGGCATCCCAAAGATTCACACCTACCTCATTTTCTGCAGGAGGACTGTCCTCTGCAGGGAGAGGGGAGGGTTCTACTCCTGGGTCCACAGGAGAGGAGGATCCTGCCCTTCCCTCCTCCATTCAGGCCTCCACTGTCCCACTGACAGCTCTGCCGCCTTCCTGCTCCTCAAAGACCACAACCCTTTCCCCTCACTGCACTCATCAATGACTGTAAACCTTCCTTAAACCTTTTCTTGGACTATGAGCTACTGAAGACAAGGCCTGCCTCCTGTTCACATTCAGGCCAGAGCCTTATTACAGCAGAAAGCAGGCCTATCCCACCAGGTAAAGACACCCATGGTGAAAGCCCAGAGTGCTGTGAGCAGAGACTTACATGCACCAAGGACTCAACTCTTCAGTGCACTGGGCTTTCTGGACTAAGTCACCAACACGTGCAAGCTGGAATTTAACTCCAGGAGTGGGCTCCTCCAGCCATAACACTGCCTCTCTCTCCCTGCTCTCTTCAGCCAAGCCGATGAGTTGGAGCAGGTTCAGGTACTTCTTTACACGTGTGACATATTCAGCTCATGCAGAAGAGACTCATTTGTTTCACTGGAGACATCGGATGAAAGCAAATCCTACAGCTCAAGCGCTCTGCTGAGCCAAAGATGAAGCGTTCAGGAACTTGCAGAAGCAATGCTGAGATATACAGAATTTCTGCAGGAAGGAACGAGTTGACTTCTCTGTTATTGGACGACTGGGACGAACAAATGGGAGCCACATTTTCTACTCTCAACATTTTTGCAGAATAGCAACCTTCCTACCATGGTTATTTATAAAGAAATGTTACAGACTGTGTGAAATTATACACTGCAGAGCTGCAAAAGATGACTTAAAAAATGATGATTCTTTTTTTTTTCCCTTTTCTATAAATGTTTAGAGTGATTTCTAGGGAACTTTATTTATTTCCAAGTCAATGCTTAAGGATCCCATAAGGACTGTGGTATATCCATGTACACCTCTCACTGCTTGATTCTTATCGGTGGCAACTAAATTCGCTTGGATTCAAATAAAACCTGAAGCCTGATGCACCACGGGGGCAGTGGGTATGAGAAGGCTTCCCTGGAGAGCTCATGGATACGTCCCAAGCACAGAGAGGGCTTAAGTGCTGGTCTGGGGAGCCCAACAGCAGCACACGATCCAGGAGTCACACTGGCTCTATTTCTATGTTCTCCTTATCTACAGAGAGGAATGAGCAACTGGGAGCACCCATGAGGCTGAGTAAAACAACGGCTTTGAAGGAGCACATCAGAGAGGCTCCCACTCCTTGGCTCTGACCAGGGCACCCCAACAGCTCTGCCATTTCCCCTCAACTCCAACAGGGATTCTCCCACTGGCCTGAACGTGACCCCGCTGGTCACATCCCCCACTGGGAGGGCATTACAACGTGGGCAGGAGACAACGCTTCTTCCTGTTGGAAACTGGGGCTGGGGACTGCAGAAAAGGGCAAGCAAAGACCCCAGCTGACAGAAGCAGCTGCAAAAATGGCCAAGATAAAGGAGGCTTTTGCCATTCTGGGAAGCCTCCTCAGACCTGCCCTGCCTGTCTCTGCAGCCCCTTCCTTCTGCCCTTCCTCTGCCTCTCGGACGCTTCACCTCAGCTGCATCAAACCTCAGCCTTTTTCTGCTCTTCTCTTCCTACCACCATGGTTCTTGGACTAAATATTGTCAGTGATGTGTCACCGGAGTTTCTCATGCCTGAAAAAAATCATCAAAGAAAACTGCAGTACGTTGTTTTAAAGCTGGTCCGTTCACAACGTTAGCACGATTCAGCCAAGGACAACTTGAAGGTCATCAGAACAGATGCAAGGAAAAAAAGGCAGGACTTGTGTGTCAAAGACTGCTGTGATTGGGCTGATAGCAAGAGGCATTTCCTTGCCTGTAGAGGTTTAAACACATGCACTTAAGAGTTTACATAAAACGGTAACATCACTCTGCATTACGTTCTATTTAATAACTTTATCCCCTGCAAAACAGCTCAGCGCTACAGAACAATCTGCTACATGTTCACATGGGATTTTCTGTGGATTCCACAGGATTTTCTACAGATTTCGTAGTGAATTTCCTGTCTGCAAAAATGTTTTCATTGCTCACAGAGAAAATACAGCGCTGTTAGAAGTCCACTGAGTTTCTCTTGTGCACTATGGCCCATCAGGTAGAGCCCATCATAAACTGACAGAGACAGTATCTGCAGCTAAAAAATTAACACATTAGCTGGCACATGCTGGTGTCCTCAAGTAGACAAAGGAAATCTCATTTTAACCCCTGCTGAAGCAAACCCTGGGAATAAATCCAGAGGTTATCTTCACCAGCAAAGACAGACTGCTGCCCCCACACTGAGCACATCAGTTAATGCACTATAACTCACCTTTTTTTTTTATTCCCCAGTGAAAGCAAGACCCAGGAGTGACAAACCAGTGCAGAAGCTGTGTGCAGTGCAGTCTTTCACCTCCCAACTGAGAATTCTTCCAAGGACCTCTTCTAGGGGTGAATTTATGACAGGGCACTCGTCCACTAAAACTGACCTTGTCCCCACAGCCCACCCAACCCCTGAGTCACCAAACTGCCTCTTCTTCTCAAGGGCTTCACAGATCTAGAGGGCAACTCCTCCTGTCTCTCTGCTGCTGAGATCTCACACTAACTCTTTATGATAAAAAAACCCCACACTTTCCTTTTAAGGCCTGTTAATAAATAGGTGCATGCACATACTGATATACACAAGGCACGTCAATTCTCTTACCTGAGCCGTTTCTACTTTCAGGATGGTTTTGTGACAGATATTCTCCAAAAGCTCTTGCCGCTCTGCATATCCAAGCATCACAGAAGGCAGCAAAGGAAAGAAAGAAAGAGATGGGCAATGGTTAAAGGCCAAGGAGAGAAGGACCAGTTCAATACCAATACTGTTGCTTTCCCACAGCTGTCTTCCCTCAGGTTCAGGTGACACCAATTTAAACGCGCTGCAATAGCAGTGGGGCTTTTCCTGGTTAACACATCCCAGTCTTGCCCTGGCCAAAGGGGAACAGAGTTAGACTACAAGCCCAGGACTATTTTAGTCTTTAGCTTCTCTGTTAAAATTGGAAAAAAAAAATGAAATGCACCTGCATTAAACTTGGCCGTGTTTCTGGGATGCACATAGGAACGGGATCACTGTTTCTAACCTTCTGGTGGGGTAGTGAAGAAGGTACCTCCACCCCATCCCAACCATCATCCCAGCATTCTGCTCTGGTCCTGGATGCTCCTGTGAGCTCCCACAGCTCAGACGTTAGTGCCCATTTTAGCTACCTTCAGCTCTCAAGCACCACCTATGTCCGTATTTGGATTACTGCACAACCTGATTTGAGAGACCCCCGCAACACCCCACAAAAGCACTTCCTGGTGCTCTGATGGATTCAGGTCCCGTGGATGACTGAGATTTCACTGAAATATATTAAGAATCAACCAGGCAGGGTGAGCTCAACCTTCATCACACATCAAGGCCTACATAAGAGAGCAAACTTATGAATATTCCAACCAGGGAAAAGCTTTCTGCTTGCAACCCACACAGGAAAGGAATCCATGGTCAAGGCATGCATTCCCTGGTATGCAGTAAATCCCAGTCATCTATTGCCAGGACATTCATAACATCCTGCTGCTGTGCTGGTACCCCTGCACCAAACAAACCTGGGACTCGAGAGTTGATTCCAGCTTTTTCCCAGCCATCCACTTTCCCCAGGTTTGTAGAACAACGTCTCCAAGCTCTGCAGCACCACAACCTGGCTGATGTTTGCCAATGGAGGCAAACAGCGAAACAGCCACCACCTCCTTGGCAAGCCAAGCCAACACCACCCAGCAGCCGAGCGCGCTCAGCCTGCAAGCACATCAGCATCTCGAGGGAGGAGATGAAGACTAAAACAGGGAAGATTCTCCATGCCAAGGCACCACATCCACTGTCCACCCCCTCCCAAGATGCTCAGCCTCCAAACATCCCTCTCCAGCTCAAGCTGCCACAAAAGGCCACGTTCATAACAACCATTCATCATCTGAGAGGAAAATGGCTTTGACCTCCAGAACAACCTTCTGCTCTGCTACCCAATACAGCAGCATGTCCCAACCTGCGTAGCCTGGGTTTTCTCCCACTGCTTTTATACACCTCCTCCCAAAAGGAAAAAGATTAACAAAGCTACACTATACCTCCCAGAGTGACTAGAGCTGGAGGGAGTGGGAAGTCCATTTGTCATCCACAGCCAGCAACAGAGGATCAATATGAACGATGAAGAAAGAGTAATTTAATCTCCCTGGGACTAAATTTCAGCACAGCCAAATGCAAAATGCTTTGGAGCAGTGCAGCCAGAGCTGTGCAAGAAGCAAGGTTTAACCTCCTGCGTCATTACAAGCTAACACACAGCACTGAGGTTTTTTTGGTCTCCAGATTCTTGCCTGCCTAGTGCCAGGCTGTACCTTTAGACACCTGCCTTTGGTGGCAGTTGCCCAAATTGCCTTCCTCAATGCCTAAGCACCTCCAGAGATAGTCACACAGAGGCTCTGTCACATGGGGGAGCAGTACAATTACAGTGCAATCACAATTAAGAAGAACAAAAAGGGATGACCATCATGGCTCACCCATTCAGGAGGGCAAGCACCTCATGGACTCTCCTTGCACCACCACCTTTCTGTCTGGCCAAAAAAGTCTTGGGGCAACACACAAATGTACAGCTGGGAGCTGGAGTGTGGCAACTCCAGCACAGGGCCACAGAGATGCTGGAGGGAGTGGAGCATCTCCTGCTGAGGAGCAGCTGAGGGAGCTGGGGCTCTTGAGCTTGGAGCAGAGGAGACTGAGGGGTGCCCTCATTCCTGGGGATCCATTGGGAAAGGGCAGTGTCAGGAGGAAGGAGCCAGGCTCTGCTCTGGGATGGCCAATGCCAGGACAAGGGGCAATGGTCCCAAGCTGGAGCACAGGAGGTTCAAGCTGAACATGAGGCCAAACTTTGTGAGTGTGAGGGTGGCAGAGCATGGCCCAGGCTGCCCAGAGAGGTTGTGGAGTCTCCTTGTCTGCAGACACCCAAAGCCCTGGCCGTGTTCCTGTGTGACTGCTCTGGTGATCCTGCTGTGGCAGGGGTTGCACTGGGGGAGCTTTCCAGGTCCCTTCCAACTCCTGACATTCTGTGATTCTGTGAACTTCAGGGAAGTGGTGGAGTCACCATCCCTGGAGGTATTTAAAAGATGGGTAGATGTGGCACTTAAGGATGTGGTTCAGTGGTGGACTTGGCAGTGTCAGGTTTACAGTTGGACTTGATGATCTTAAGGGTCTTCTCCAACCTAAACAATTCTATTAACATCAGGCTGTGCCACTGCAAGACCACTCTTGAGCTACTCCTGCACTGCATCTCAGAGGTGGTTAAGGCTCAGCTGAAGCCATTGCTGATCTCATGTAGCACTGACAACAGCCCCGCTTTGAGCAGATGGCTGGGCTCCAGACTCCCAAAATCCCTTCCACCAAGGCTTCTGGGACATCAAGGTTTCCCATGGAAATGTCTGGCCTTGAGAGCCATCATCACCACCATTCACAGACAGGGTACTTACAGCCCTGAGAAAGACTGTGAAGCTTCCCTCGTGCATCAGCAGCCCTTTTGTGTAGAAAAAACAACGAGCAAGCTAAATTATCAGTGAGAGAACACAGTGATTTACACAAAAAATGCCAAAACACGACAATAAAATTTAGTCTGTAACCAGTTCAAAAGCTGCAAGTGCATGTTAGTCCATCTGTCATTCTCTCCATTCAGCTCTGCCAATGCTCGAAGCTGATCTGCCTGCCTTAAAATCTAAACCAACGCTTCACCCTTCACTTGCAAACCGAAAGATTAGTACCAAGCACTTCCTAAGACCCAACCTGCAAATGGCTAACGTGGAGCTGGAGAAAAGCACTGCCACCCTCCAGCCCACCTTGTCCCATGCTGAAAATAATGTCACACAGAATAAGAGTTGGGAGGTGCTGCAGTGTCTCCAACCTCACCCTCTTTTTTCCCCGAGGTTAAAATCCCAAGTGCCAGAGCTTCTGGAGAACAGGCGACACCCAGACCTGTCCTGGCAGGACAGGAGCACAGTCGAGGAGCACAGAGCTGTTAAAACATGCCACTGCCTGGCCCAGGCTGAACCCGCAGCTCTGTCACTGCTGCTCTGTTCCCACTGCTCCCAGACGCCGCGGGCCAAGCTGAGAGCAGGCGAACGCGGACAGGCGAGCACAGTTATCCAGTGACAGCTAATGAGGCAACGGTGCCTGCACAGCACAACATGCGACGGGGGTTTTCCAGCCAATTACACCACAAACTTCAACTCATTTTGCTTTGCTTGGTATCTCAGTGGTTCCCTTCTACATCCCTGCTTCCCAAGTGCCACCTGTGTCTCCTTGGCTGCGCCTCGGCTGCTCTCCCACAGACGTCTGTGTGTGCCCTCTGCCAAGGGGACGGCTGGCCACGCTGGCTCCGTATGCCTGGTCTCCCCTTGCCAAGCCTTTTGTGTTCCCTCACTGCCCTCGCTGTGCTCACAGCCACCCCATTTTCCCAGCATCTCACAGCCACCCCAGTTTCTCAGCATCTCACAGCCACCCCAGTTTCCCAGCATCTGCCCATACCATTAATGGCCCATTTACCCCTCTCCTTGGCCACCCCACTGACCTGATCAAAATAAAGTCCAAGCAAAATTCAAGCAGACAGCAGCTGCTCTATTCACCCCATTCGTTTCTATTCCTTTTCTCAACACACGGTATTAATAGAAGCAACACAATCGTACTCTTCCCTCAGCTCAGTTCTGCCTCCACTATCACAGCCAACAAAGTTCAAGTCCCATCGAGCCTTCTGATGGCACTGGACAGAAAACCCTTCAACTGGGCTCCGAGCAGAGCCACCTCGGGACAATTTAACTGGCAAGAGATAAAAAAGGAAACGTGTTTCACGTAAATGAGATGAAGTACAAGGTGCCTTACAGATACACAGGCCGATGAGCTATAACCCTGAGCGTATGACACTGCAGAAGCTGCATACAAATGAGCAGGTAGTACCGAGAGGTAATCAGCTGATGACACGACAAGTTCAGCCCTGACTCATCTAGAGGGAGGTTTGCATTTTAGTGGCAGATCAGCCCTGCATGTTACAGAGTCAGCACAGCCCGACTGAACAACGGGACATCAACCAGGGAGCACGGCCTTGGCACGCTGCGCTACTGAGGCTAACCAGTACAGACTGCCACTGCCTCGGAGGAAACCACCATCTCCAGCTTCATCTTCATCAGAACAGCTTCAGTAAGGTAGGGTAGCACAACCAGGCAGCGAATGCCTTCTGAGGGCATTTTTCAGCACTCACTGTGCATTAGATGACAAAGCCGGACTCAGATCTGGAAGAGAAAGTGGCTGAGATTTTGCGAAGACGTGGAGATGGGCTGGACGTGCATTTGCTTGAAGGAGGAAAGCCGCCAAATAACAAAGATCTCAATTACAACGTGATGAGCGTGGAATGGCCTTCATGTCTCTGAAATAATCACATCAACGGGATAACAAGGGGCCTTGATGCATACTAGCAGCTATGAGAAATGGAGGCACACAAATTTATGCAATCTGCCAAACTGACACTGAGCTGAGAGGGAAGCAACGTGTATTGAAACGACTCAGGGATACAAGAGTGAGCTGAGATAACTCCATTTAGAGCACAGCAGCAAGCTAAGCAAAACCTGGACTATTCAGGAGCATTACATGGAAAAAATAAAGAACACCCACCACCTTCCCGTGTTCCTTCAGAAGCAATGCCCAGAGGAGGTGCAGCAGGAATCTGTTG